GTCCCTCAAGAAAGTCAAGGAGGCCCTTAAGCTAGCACCAACCACAAGTCTGCCGTGCTTTTGACAGAAGTGCGAAAGGTTGCGCATGTGAAGCGAAGCTGATCGTCCAAAGATTTGACTCTCGGCAAACAGGAGTCGCCCGCGTAGAGAGAGAAGCTCATTTTGGCCAACAAAGCCTCGGGTCAGGACCTCATCGATGGATGAGCAAAGTTCGCGTTTGCGGGCCTCGGTGTTCTGGACTGAGATCAATCCATTCTTAGAATCAGCCAAGGATATTTGCACTCCTAAGACTTTGGCTACTGCATCAAAACCACTGTCTTTCTCGGGGGACGTTTCCCAGGCAACGATCCTGAAAAATGTTGACTGGACTAAGTCAAGATGTTTTTGCTCGTCGGACGAGCAGGGTAAGACAAAATCGTCAAAATACAGAGACCATGGCAGGATCAGGCTCCGGACTCCGATCCACCAAAGGCCGAAGGCAGTTCTGTAGAATCCCTGAACGGCCGGCTTGCTGCCGAAGGGCAGCACAACTGTCTGGTATATCTCAATTTCCATGCTGTGAGGGTTAAGCACAGCTATGAAAGAATCATACAAAGCTTCAGTGCTTAAAGGAAGTTGCTTATAGGCTTTTCTAAGGTCTATCGTCCTAAGAACAAGTTGCTCGCGCTTGCCAAGTTTCCGGGCCGACCTGATGCGAAGGCACAATGCAGCGACCACAACGTCCACCCCGTGAGGGCAGATCGTCTCGCTAGCACTGTTTGTGAGATTAGCAAGAGATTCCGTGTAATCATCTATTGGTCTCACCTTCTTGATTGACCCTAGCTTGGCATCGGTGGAGGATTGCACTATCCCAAACCTTCTAGTGACTATGGCATCCGGGGGGATGTCCGACTCCTTAAAAGGTCCCTTAAGCCACCCTTTCGCAAGCTCATCTTTCGTAAGCTGGTAAACACTTTCAGCCACCTCGCGGTCGAAACCTTCTCTGGTAGAGGTCAGGATGGCCTTTCTGGCAAGGGGAGTGGCTGCACGAACGTCCTCAACGGTAAGCGAGGCAGAGGAAACCTTAGAGGGAAGGACTCCAGATGCGGGTATGGGGCCTAGAAGGTTAAACCCAGTTGAGATGTCCTTGGTCAAGGTTGTGTCCGGGTACTCGGCCTCAGTCAAGAGGGAATTGAAGACTTTCATGGATTTCCTACCAAGAACTGCGGCACAGTGGTCGGGCATGTCGGAGGGATCTGCACGGGATGCCGCCTCCTCGGAGGTAAGCATCCACCTCCTCAACGTAGCAGTGCGTTCCCTGGCAAGGTCGGCAGGTGACTCCTGGGCGCATCGCACAATGGTCTCCTTTAAAATCTTTGGCACACCATTTTCGATACGCTTGGGGTGTAGGGCTCCGCGAGCCTGTTTGACGAACTCTTCTGGGGTCCACGCGATACCATAAGTTCGCTCCTCATGCGGGACTGCGGCAAGAGAGTGGCCATCGCCAGGCTTCGAACAGGCATCAAGTAGGGCGCCAGGCTTTAAGGAGTCGTCCACAGGGGAGGAACGGGCTAAACCCGAACTATCAGAACCAAGTTCTCGAGTAGCACTGCAGGGACCCCCAGCAGACGGCACAGTGCGAATCAGCTTGGCGGTTTTGGGTAGCCGCTTTAAGGAGGGCTTGCACAAGACTTTATCAGGAATGGCCCAATCTTCCGAGAGTTGCTTCGGGGGCATAGCACAAGAGGGGCCAGTGACAGTGATGATGGACTTGTACTCAGAGACCAAAGGCGGAACACGTTTGCCTTTGGGTTGCTTTCCGGAGGCAACCTGAGCGGCTCGTGCCAACGGGAGCCCAAGCTCCTGAAGTTCTGCTGCAGGAAACCGAGCACCCTGGTGTTGCAATTCAACAGCAAAGGCCCTTGCTACCATGGCACAAAGCTGACCAGGGGACGAAGACAAAGGCAACGCCGGATTTGGTGGTTTGCATCCCCCTCCACACGGAAAGCTAAGGCTTGACAGTGCAGGGAAGTTGTGAATCAGGCGCCGATGCTGACACAGCCCGTTGTGCACGAAGCAAGGACTGTAGTGGGTGGAGATTTGCGGACAGGCACCCCGGAGGTCACGAAGTTTCCAAAGGTTGGAGCTGCACGGGGCGTCGAGGCAGCAAAGAAGACCATTGGCACAACACTCCGTGTAAATGCTTACTGCAAGGTCACTGAAGTTGGAAGGAGGGGACATGTGCACAGCAACAACATTATCCTTCGAAAGGATGTCTCGCAAAAGCGAAATGCCGCTGTCAGTGGAAAGGTCCAGCGGAACGACAGGAGCCCGAGTGTTTCGGGGGTGACGATTGATTGCAAAACCTTGCATGCCGAGGCTGCGCACAGCCGCACACACACCACCATGCCTGGCAAAGATTTCAAGGAATGCTATGTCACTCGAGGGACGACCAGAGATACGCAGTTTAACTCTGTCCAAGAAGGGTTGCACAGTTGGCGGGAGAGGCTCCAGCACAGGAGCACCATCGGTACCACACTCAATGGAAGGCAAGGGCACACCCAAGGATACAAGAGCACTGCGACAAGCCAGAGGCATCGACTCGTGTCTAGCAACCGAAAACCCGACTACCACTACTCGAGACCCCAAAAAAGGCATTGTGCAGTGTCTGTGTTTCCAAGCCTCGAAAGTGAGATGACTGAGGGAGACTTCGTGCAGCTGTCCATGAAGCTGGGCACCTGAAGGATCGGTCATTGGATGAGGTCCCTCTCCCTCGAGCCAAAGTTGGCCACCTGAGAAGGAGTTGACCCCAATCAACAGATTGGGTAGGTGCGCATTGTAGCTGTCGCGATGCAGAGCTGTCTGCGAGTCGACAAAGAGAGCAGCACTGGTGCACTCGAAGGAAGGACTGATGGCTCTGATGAAAGCAAAAAGCAGAGAAGACGAAAATGGAAAGGATTTTACATTAGATCGAAGGGCCGTGATACCACCTTTGGTGTACAGACCCGTGGTCCACGATTGACCGGCACTACCTAAATCCCGAGAAGGCTGAGGAGCATCGAAGGGAAGAAGTGTGGAAAGATGCAAAACGTCCTTGCGCGAAGGAGCGGTGCCAGATGTCAATACACCCAGCGAAAATTCCTCGGCCGGATGTTTAACCTCGGCAGAAGCATCAACCTTGTCAGGCAGCAAAGAAAAAATGTCATCTAAAATGGGGATAGGGAAGCTTGCACAAGGAGCCGGTACCTGAGGTGCCTCGTCAGTGCAGGTCTCCCCGGACTCGCGCGAGAGTCAAGAAGCAGAAGCTGCAGGGCATTCGAACTGGGGGTGAGGCTTCTCGCAGCGCATGCACAAGTGAAGACCGAAGCGACAAGCTTTGCCAGCCTCAGCATGGCTGCACCCCCTGTCTTTGATGTTGTATGCCCAACAAAGTCGCTTGCCTTTCGAGGTCTTCTTCTTAAGGTTTGGAATGTTCTTGAGGGCATCAGGAAGCTGGGACTCTTTTCGAGGCTGGCCTTCAGAGTCCCTCTTGATACCTTTATCAAGGCCCTTACCATTGCCCCTATCCGGATTCGGGATCTTCTGAGGAGGATCAGGCGACCTCAAAGGAAGGAGGTTGAACAGGACAGCAGGGTCAGTGCGAAGACCCGGGAAGGCAGCATCAAGAGGCAACACGCCGGCACTATCCCTCTTAAGCGTCTTAACCGTCTCAGCCAACTGAACCCAAGCCTGACGATCAGCCCTCAACAATTGCTCCATGGAAACTTTGCTGCACCTCGGAGGGGGAGGCTGAGCCATGCGATCGAACAGAAAGCGGTGCCAAGATTCTTGCACCTGGAAGCTGATGGCACCCATAAGGTCACAGGCTAAGCTCCGACGTGTAAGAGCCTGCCAGAGCTGAAGTTCATTGGTGATCTGGCAACGATCACGACTCTGCTGATCACGAACAGTGAGCTTGGTGCCCCCATCGAGCACGATCTCACGCTTGGGTTTTTCTCTGCAAACCTCCTGTTGCCTGGTGATGAACCTATGGGGCTCCAAATAAATTGGCGAGTCGGCTTCAAGCATGGAGCCCACAAGAGTGTAGCAGGAATATGCGCACTCCATCGCGCCGGTTAACTCAAAACCGACAAGCCTGGTCTTTTGAGCCGCAATGCGGCTGGTGCGTTCAGCAGGTGGGAGGTCGTATTTCTTGTCTCCCTCATGCCCTTCAACTGAGAGCTTGAGTTGCTGCACAACACAAGTCTGGCACTCAAACACACACCGCCGAATGGATGATAAGGCGCCAACTGAAACAGCTTCAGGAGTGGCAGTATCCAAAAGCTGACGAAGGGCAAGCTCCGTAGGTTGCACACCCGGGGTGGTGACAGCATAGGCCAATGACGACATTGTCGAGACACCTTTCCCTTTCAGGATCAGCAGCTGAGCACTTGAAAGACCACATTCCGTGGCAAGTTCTTCAAATGCCGCCTCAGATTTCAGCAGGGACATGGCTGATACTACACAGTCCTAGAGCCCAAGCTTCGCGAACGATGCGATGGCTCCGAAGAGGAAGTGGCGAAAAGCCACACAAATCAGCAGCAACTCTTGAGACTGCTCCCGAGTAATGGGTGACAAACCCATGCTCCAAAGAGGAAGTGGCGGAAAGCCACGCACTTTAGAAGCAACTCTCGAGACTGCTTCTGAAAGATGGGTGTCAAACCCATGCAGCGGGAAGCCGCTCATAAGAAGATCTCTTCAGGATTCAAGTGAAGTAATACTTCGTACAAGAAGAAGGGTGACAAACCCGATTTATGAAGTCGCACCGGTCAGTGGAAGCGGCGGAAAGCCGCGCGCAACAGTCAGCATGCGGAGGCAGATGAGTGACAAACCCAGTCACAGATTTCTTTTCTCAGCAGCCGACAAGGCGCGTCAGGTTTAGGCAGTGAGGTGCCCAACACATTGCCATTTTTCCTTCTGAAGGAAAGTTAGCATAGCACGTTAAAAGAATTTTGACGCCGAAGGCCCAGCGCGCTGGGATGTCAACGCTTGCCCAAGGCAGCATCAAGCGCGCCGACAAGGGCGCCGGTGTTGCTAATCGGCTTTCTCTGAGCACATTGCTTGCAATCCCAAGCAGTGATCTTGACCAAGGTCCTGAAGGGGCGATGGTCTTTGGTGAGAGGCCTGCCACAGACAAACTTATCGTCGCTCGAGTTTTCAAGCATGCGATGCACAGTCTTTGTCCTGCAATGCTGGTAAAGCTTGCATCCCTCCACGACGTGATGCCTCAATCTGCATGCTAAGTCGCTTGCTGCCTGGACATTTTCATCAGCACTTGAAGAGCTCGAAGAAGAGCTGGAACTCGAACTCGATTCAGAGTCTGAACCGCTGCCATCTCGATCCCCCTCCACATGGGGATCATCAGAAGCCCCCGGTTCGGGCGGAGGGTCTGAGAGACCCCAGGGCTCAAGCTCACTGCCACGGCTCGCGTTGAGGAAAGCATCGATGTCAGCATCCTCCAGCTCTTGGTTGCGGTACCACGCCAACTCCTCATCAGGGCCAACCTCGCTGCCCATGTTCACAGGCTCTTGGCCCTCACCTAAGATGCCGAGGTCAAGGTCAGGGCTGAGGGCCCCATCAGAGAGACCAGGAGGAACATCAAGGGCCGGCTCCACTCCTGGATCATCGACTTGACGGACAAAGCGGCCAGAGCGTGTGCAATCAGGAAGGAAAGCTCCAGACCGAACGTCACATAGAAGAGACCACAGCACTCTCAAAGGCCCAGCCTGAAGATCTCTGTTGTAAGTGGCTACGCTTTTGCTCTTAGGCATGTGATGCCCAAGAATGGCCCTGTCATCCTCAGAGCCGCCCCATTTGGCCAACCAAGGAAGTAAGGTAGACTTCGCTGTGTGGCCGGTGAAGTGGCCTCCGAAGAAAGGGAGATCCTTAAGGATGCCATTGATCCACACCACGAAGGCTTCGTTCTTGATCGGATGGTTGAGCAAAGAGCCCACAGACGTGGGCACACACAACAGCGCAGAACCATCGTCCTTCTGAAGAAGGTCTTGATCCACTTGCCGTGCAACCTCCAAGAAGTCAAGTCCCCAGATGCGAGGCCCCAGTCCTTTTACGTGAGCCACAAGAGGCAACCTGAAGCCGAGCGCATTGCTAAGAGACTTAGTCTTATGGCTATAAGAGTAACACTCCAAGAACCCTTCGGCGCAGTCTGCAGATGGTTCTGCAAGGTCAAGCGTGAACCTTGACACGGACTTCAAGTCGCCTAACCTCGCCCTGGCAAAGATCGCGAAGAGCATGCAACCAGCGGCAAATCGGTCCAAAAGTGCATTGGATTCGGACGCAAGGAAACCCTCGAGGTGAAGCACTTCTGCAACGAGAAACGAGCGAGCCTGCCTCCTGGGAGGCTTGTTCAATCTCTCGCGACGAGCACGTCCTGTCAGGACCGGGTCAGACCGGAGAGGCTCATTATTGAAAACACCAAGGACATAGATCGCAAAGTTGAAAGACTCAAGGTTGCTGGACACTGACCCATGCCCTTTGGTCTTCACTGCAAACTCGGTGTATTGCCGCACAAGATCCGAAGAAAGGGGGAAGCCTATGCATCCTGTGTCGTTGCACCAAGTGACGTACTTGGATAATTGCCCGTACCTTTTCTGGAGGGTAGACAGGGCTTTACCCCCAAGTGCATCCGAGACAAGTTGCGTTCCCTTCTCAAAAGACTCCTTGGCAAGTATCCCCCCTAGCCTAGAACCCGAATAAGAGTGCGACAGCAACACATGGAACCGCTGGCAAAGCAGCTCACGTTTATCAAGAGGGCTGATCGGAGCCTTCACCACTCTGACCTTTTGAGAAACGGCTTTAAAGAAGCTGCAGGATCGAGGCTCCGGCTTTGCGAGCTTCTCCGCTTCACCCAGGCTCGAAGCTGAAGAAATGGGAATATCAAAAGGAAATTTCACTGAAGGGATGATCGGGGCAGCATGCTCCGGGCAGAATATCTCTTTAAGAATGCCTGACTCCCACGGTAGCTCCAGTTCACTGGAGCCCGCAACACTGTGACTGGACTCAAGCAGCAGACGGTCTATGCTCTTAAGGAACTCAGAGCGAGACCCCGGGCCTGATGTCGCAGCTGAAGTCGAGGAGCCCCCAGCAGAAAGAGACTGAGGCTGCATGTTGTAGCGTGTTTTGCAATGATGCCTTGCTAGGCCAGCCTACGGCAGCAAAGCCTGAGCACGGTCAAGAATCGTTCCAGCAAGCCAACACGAGCTTGCGTTTGGGCTGCCTGACTCTCCAAGAGGTCCAAGCGATCTTCAAGTGTTCTTACTCTACTCTCCACAATGTTGCATTCAATCTGAAGATCGGAGAGATGTGAACTAATCGCTTCCCAGGTGGAGCTAGAGGAAGCGCTCACACTGGAAGGCTCAGAGACAGGCAAATCAGGAGGCCTTGTTCCCATCTGGCGCCCTCCGAAGGGGCACCGTGCACGAAGCTAAAGCCTTGAAATTAGCAGCTCGAACCTCGCTAGAAAGAAGTGACAGGACTCTAGAGGCCTCACCGAAAAGCGAAAAGCGAACTGGAGCCGAAAAGGCGACTGGAAAAAGAGCTTGGGAAAAGTTCGGCATGAAAAAAAAGGATGGAAAACAACCAAGGTTGGAAAAACCAAGTTGTTGAAAACAAGACTTGAGAATAAAAATCCGTCCTCCTTCGGAGGAAGTTCTTCGTGTTGCACAAAGGCAAAGTAGGCTTTGAAAGCTGTGAGCTGAAAGCGGCTGCGGAATATACAGAACATGGATCATTCACACACATGGTTGTGCAAAGGAGAATGCAGCATGCAGACACAAATTTTCTTTTAGACGAAAAACGGTCTAAAAAGAAAATCCAGCACATGATTGTGCAACAAGTCTCCTTGTTCACCACCATATTCCCTGGCAGTAAAATATTTTGTAGATCTCTGTTGAGATGTCAACTCCCAGGAAAGCTACCGCTGATGCGGCATTCTTTAGGTGGTCAATGATCCATCGAACAGTAAAAGCGTGGGGGTGGGGGCCCCAAGTTTCCCCACCCCACCACCCACCTTTGGAGGGTTGGGGGTTGGGTGCCCCACCCCACACCCCACCCTCCCCCCGCCTCACCCACCCCTCCCACGCGAGTTGGGGGGGCGGCCCCGGGGCTTATAATAAGGCTTTGGCCTTAATAAGGCCTTAATAAGGGCTTAATAAGGCTTAACAAGAGCTTCATAAAGCCTTAATAAAGCCTTAATAAAGGCTTAATAAGGCTTTAATAATGGCTTAATAAGGCTTTAATAAGGGCTTAATAAGGCTTAATACTGGCCACTTGTTAGCGGATTTTTTCTAAATCCGCCCGTGCTTCGGCGCCGCCCGGCTCTCGCAGTGCCTGTGCTCCACAACGGGATACAGGCCCGGCTCAAGCGGGTGTCTGGGAAGGAGAGGGGCCGAGCATCATGCGCGTCAGCGGGTCTCTGGGGGCGGCAAGGCTTGTGTTGCAACATCTCCCGAAATGGAGGATGTATATCGGTTTCGGGAAGATTCCCTGTTTCAAGAGCCTTAATAAGCTCATCAGGTTGTGCTGAGTGTTTCGTAAGGGCATCTGCAAGACAATATTTTGAACTAACGTGGGCCAAATCATCTAGGGACCCTGAGTTAGACTCCTTTCGAAGCATCTGAATAAGATGATGAGTCTCCTTCTGTTCAGGAAGATGAGTTGTACCCGCAGTTGTGACAAGATTGCTTGCATCTGTTCTTATGTGTATGGGCACTGTCTCTGATGAGAGATCGGCCCAAAGTCCCTTAAGAAACAAACATGTACCAAAGCAACGCATGAGTGCGTTTAGCTCTGCCACCGTAGTGGACATTGTCGTGGTAGTAATCTTGTGAGATTCGTAGTCTACCAGGCTACCTCGTGAGGATGTTTCCTTAATGGAGGACTCAGAGAAATCATTCTTCTTGGAAGAAGTTGCTGCGGCGGACTGTTTCACGCCCTTCAGCTTCGGATTACGTTCTTCTGCAAGAAAAATGACATGAGCTCTCTGTGATGATTTGTCATCGCTGTTCCTGTAGGAGGCATCCGGATAGCCTAGAATACGAAGGTTTCCTTTCAGCGGCCAAAAACGTAATTCTACTTCAGTGGCCTTAAGGATTCGAACAAGTTTGTTCAGTTCTCTGATATCACCTATTGTTGGCTTAGCAGCCTTGCTTGCACACCTGCTGAAACGATAACAAATGTGAGCTTGGGTCCGGCTTTGTAGCCAGTTGATCTGACCAAGAACACTTCGGTATGCAGTGTGCTGCTGTGGTGTACACGGCTGCTCATTGTTGAGCTTTTTGTCAAACACAATTTCCTCTAGGGCCTCTACTGCAAGGTTCTGATTCACCGAGATGTGTGCTGGCACAGATGCTGTTGCATCCTTCCAGACCAGTCTCTGACCTACAAACATGATGTCGTTTGTGTCTTCAGAACCTACTGCAAACTCCTTTTTGATCGAATCGATTACGGCCTTACGAAAGGTGTCATCACCGGCCATGCACAAGTCATCTACATGCAAACAGACTACTCCATGAACTTCTCTACCCTTGGCATTATTGCCTGCTATAGGATCTAGGAGATAGTCGATTGCTGACTCCATTGACTTCGGTTGAGACTTCTTAAGTTCCGCCTCTGCTGTTGCAGACTTCTTACCGTACAGAACATATGTACAACGGTCCGCACGAGTCGGAACGAGGCCGTAGGACAGAAGGGCCTTGTCTACAATGTTCCACCACCTGCGAGGTGCATCGTTGAGTCCGTAGGCGGGCTTCTTCATCCTCGCAGCTATATAAGGAGGATAACCTGCTTCAGGAGGAATCTGGCAGATTATGTCACGAGACTCATCGTATGCCTCACCTTGCAGAAAGGCGGTCTTAAGATCAATGTGAGTCAGATTCCACAGCTTGTTAGCTGCTAATTGAATCGCTAAACGGAAGCCTGGACGACTGGCGGCAGGACTATCAGTTTGCTGGATATCCTTTTGTCGATCCTGGAAACCTCGTAAAACCCAACGGGCCTTACATTTCAGAAAGTTTCCATCCTTATCTCTTTTTAGAGTTAGGACCCATCGACCTGTCACATAATTTCGGATGTTTCCGAGCTTGCGTGTGTCTACAAGCTCAAACACATCATTGTCCAGCCAGCTCTGATACTCAGCTGCCTTTGCCTCGTCGAACTGCTTCTTCATTTCTCGCTTCTCCTTAGCGGTTGCTTCCTTCCGCTGTGCCTTCTGGGTAAGATTGGATGAGTTCCTATAGGGACTCACAGATAAGGCTTTGTCCTCCTCCGTTAGGAGATCATACTCCTCACGGATATCGGATCGAATCTTCTTGGAAGGTCTATACCGTGTTCGGTCCGATCTCACTCTTGAGGTTACCTCTCGGATATCCACAGGGCCGCCATGCATGTAGCGCGGCATTGAGAAGGATCCTGTGTTGCTACACAGTTTCTGTTCTTCAGAAAGAAGAATCCAGTCCTTCTCATCCACAACAAGAACACCTTCCTCGTCGGAGTAACACCTTGTGTCATCAGACTCAGCATCACTCTCCGATTCAGGAGAACCTGACGTATGAGGAAGAACGGACGGTTGTCCGGGATCATCGGGAACCATCTCTTCCGAGGATTCTCCATCATCCTGTTGCAATGGGAGAATCGGTCCTGACTGTTGCGGTGCTGCCTTCGGCTTAGGCTTTGGAGTAGGCACCTGTGGAGGTGACTTCTGTTTGTGCGGCGAAACCTTTCTTTCCGATGAAGACCTTGGCGACACATCACCCCCCAGACGCCGAGGAGACGGCTCGCGAGGAGGCGGATGTAGGCGAGGCTTAGCCCGAGCAGGAGCCACGGGCTCATCGGATGAAGCTGCCGGAAGTCGCGGTGGAGGTAAGGGAGGAGGAGGACGCGACGGAGGAACGCCAGGAGACATAGGTTGATCTGGCTCCGGCATGGAAACATCGTCAGACGTGACGCGAGACCGGTTGGTGCTCATTGGCTCTGACGGGTCTGATGGCGAGACCTCCTCATCAGACATAATGACATCGGGTGGCGGCCGGACAGACGGCGAAGATTTGCCACCAGTCATTTGGAACAGCACCCCCGAGAATGTTGTTGGGTGCATTTTGTTCCAGGACACCTGATGCGGAAGACAACAGGTCATGGTCTGATTTGGTCGTTTCTTGTTCCAGAAGACAAGAACGCCATCAGTAACACTTGTTAGTGTTTTCATTGTGCCGAAAGTGCCTCTGTAGAGAGTACACTGCTCAAAGCCAGATCCTGGCAAAAGTCTGGATCTTAGATGAGTAATATCCGATACCAATGCATCCAGGGACGGCGATGGTTTGGAATGATGCAGTGGTAACTCTGTTTTACTCGATAGAGAATTGACTCTGGTCACAAGTGATCGGATTTTCGAATCCTGCAGCAACTTAGAATCCTTGAGAGGATTGATTGTGAGAAAAGAATACTCTTGATCGAGCAGATCGCACAATCCATGGAGACATTCATCTCCTGAATACTGCAGGATATCGGTCAGCAAGGAGAGATGCGATGCATACGAATCTCGGCGCAGAAACCTTGCCATGCATGAGGCAAAGGTCTCACAAAATTCGTACGGATACACTTGCGCCAGCTTAGTTTTGAGACCGTAGCCTTGAATACCCGTTTCACCTTTGGGTGAAGAGGTTGGAGATTTTGGCCTTGGAATATTCCTATGTATGGGAGTCAATACCTGCTGTGGCAGGTTATGCATGAAGATCGAAGATCTAGACTCATAGTATCCTTTTGGATCTTGCATACCATAGGCCTGTAGATTGCATACCTCATAGCTAACCCTTGGGTTAGAGAACAATCGTTTTGCCTCTGGTGTTGACCAAAGCTTGCTGTAGTAAGGATTTTCTAGGACGAAATATCGTCCAAGTTTCATTTGGTGATCTGCAATAGATT